CAAAACCTACCAACGCCGTCCTCCCGCTACTGCTCCTGCTCCTGATCCAGCTCCTGCTCCTGATCCAGCTGCTATTCCTGATGCTGCCACTACACCTCCTGATCCAGGAGCTGATGCTCCTGATCCTGCTTCTCCTCCTCCGGCTCCGCCTCCCTCCGCCATCGCTGGTCGCACCCGCTCGCACAAAGCTCCCAAGCCTCTTTCCCTTTCCATTCGTGTCTCTCTCAATCCTCCTCCTGTCGGGGGTGATTATTCGCTCATGCCCTCCCTTCTTGAAGACAGACATGAGTTGATTGACATTGACTCAGCCATACACGCGCTCTGCTCTCTCTTTCCAGATATCGCAGAATCTCCCACCCTCAACTTCTCAGACAACCCCTCCATCCCCACACCTCTCACCTATGCTGAAGCAGTTTCTGGTCCTAACGCCGCTCAGTGGATAGGGGCCATTATCGCAGAGTGTGAGGCCTTCATTCACACAGGGACTTTCACAGATATCATTCCTCCCTCCGGCGTCAACATTGTGAAGGGAAAATGGGTTTTCCGGGTGAAACAACTTCCAGGCGAATTTCCAGTCTTCAAAGCCCAGTACTGTGCCAAGGGATTTACCCAAAAGCATGGACTGGACTTCTTTGAGACATTCTCTCCCACTGCCAAACCTCCCACACTGCGCACCCTTCTCGATGTGGCCGCTCGAGATGACATGGAGGTTGACTGCATGGATGTGTCTTCTGCGTTTCTGCAAGGGATCCTTCGAGAAGAAATCTACATGGAGCGGCCCGAAGGATTTCCAGCTCCTTTTCCACCAGGCACTGTATGGAAGCTGAATCGACCAGTATATGGCCTCAAGCAAGCACCCCGGGAATGGCACAACAAGCTCAAGAGCACCTTAGGGTCCCTCGACTTTCACCGATCCACCTCTGACCCCAGCCTCTTCATCCGAGCAACACCATCCCGCTTCTTCATCTTGGTTTATGTCGATGACATGATCCTTGTCACCAAGGATCAGACTGAGCTGGCAGCAGTCAAAACCGCACTTGGTGAGAAGCTGACCATGAAGGATCTTGGGAAACTGACGAACTATCTGGGCATGGAAATCACACGTGATCGCACGGCCCGCACCATCACCCTCTCGCAGAAGTTCTACATCAACAACGTTCTGACCAGGTTCAAGATGCAGGAAGCAGCTTCAATGCCCACCCCACTCTCTCTGCAGCACCAACTCACTGCACCCTCTGTTCCCTCACCTGAGCCCTGTGATGAGGCTTACCCCGAGCTCGTTGGTTCCCTCATGTACGCGATGATGTGCACTCGCCCAGACTTGGCTTATCCAGTCAGTGTCCTGTCTCGCTACGTTGCACCTGGTCGCTTCACGAGCCACCACTGGTCTGCCGCCAAGCGGGTCCTCCGCTATCTCAAAGGCACACAGGACTATGTGCTCACTCTTGGCGGCTCTTCCCCTGTTCGCCTTGAGGGGTACAGTGACTCGTCCTATGCTGATGACCAGAGTGATCGGCGCTCTTCCCAAGGGTATTGCTTTACCCTTGGCAGTGGGGTTGTCAGTTGGCGCTCCACTCGGTCGTCTTCCGTCTCACTGTCGACCTGTGAGGCAGAGCTGTATGCAGGGACCATGGCTGCCCAGGAGGCCCGTTGGCTCTCCTTCTTGCTGGCAGAACATGGGTATCCTCAACCAGCCCCAACGCTTTGGTGTGACAACGAGAGCACCATTCATCTCACCAAGGACCCAGTCTTCCACGGCCGCACCAAGCACATTGAAGTCCGTCACTACTTTCTTCGTGAGCTGGTGCAGCGCGAGCAGCTGAAGGCTGAACACATTGCCTCCGACTGCAACCTTGCTGACTTGTTTACCAAGTCTCTTGTTCGCCAAGACCACTACCGCCTCCTCTCGTCCATGGGTGTTGGACCTCCATGTGGCTGAAGTGTTGTCAGTCTAGGGGGTGTGTTAGAAATAGTCAGTCAACACTTTGTACTATATTCTATATCGGTTAGGTTACTTTGTAGGTTGGGTGTAGATTTGTAATCCCAACCCTATCTGGTTGGGATTCCCTCGTAATCCTGCAAATCTGCCAACTCACCAATTGGAGATTTGTTAGGATTCCCATCCCATCCTTTCCTAGTTTTGCTCAACCCAACCGTGTTTGTACTTAAGGTCTCGTGCCTTCCTTATCAATCAAGCACTTCAGATCCAATTCTAGCAGCTGCTGGTGAATTTCATCTCTGGTAACCAGGCCTCGGAGGAGCATCGGTTTACACTCTGGAGCAGAGAGCTGATTTTCCGGCCGAGGAAGGAAGGGGTGCTGGGCGTCAGAGATCCGTTTGTTGAGCTCTCCGGACTCGCGGCGAGGCGTGTCGGTACCCTCGTGCTTGAAAATGGTTTCCGGAGGGAACTGGCGCTAGCAGCGGCGGAGCTACCGAACGACTTCAGGTCCTTTTGGGCACACGAGGAGTCCCTGAAGCAGTGGAAGGGGAGAAGCGTTAGGTGGCGGCAGATAGGCTTGAGCAAGGTGGCGAACACCTGTTCGGTTCGCCTCGAACATGTTCGAGGCGAACCGAACAGGTCTTGTTTTTCAGCTTAAATCGTTCGCCCGAACGTGTTCGAGGTTCGCCCGAACATGTTCGTGTTCATGGCGCTGCTGCAGAACGCCCCGTGTCGAACACGAACGTGTTCGAGGTTCGCCTGAACTTGCCTTCACAGGCGAATAGCGAACACCTGTTCGCCGAACCGAACACTGTTCGGTTCGGCAAAAGGCCGTGTTCGAGAAGGGGCGAACACGAACATCTTCGTGTTCGCCCTTTGCTCATCCCTAGCGACAGACATGCGAAATGTTCATGAAGTCAAAAATCGCAGAGCGGGGGCCGGTAACGAGGTGGGACATTGAGCAGGAGCCGCTCACCTTCAACCGAAGCATCTTGCCGAACGGGAAGAAGCCTCTTGGGAAGCAGAAGGCAGCACAGGGTTTGGAGCTGTATAAGCTGGGAGACTTCATCGCTACTGCAGAAGGCGGGGCGAGGTCCATCAAGACCCTAGAAATCTTGACGAGGGAGATGGGGACCAAGGAAAAGGCGCGAAGAGCGCTGAAATTCTTTAATTGCATCCCGGATTCATGGAAGCACAAGCTATTGGCGCCGCTCGCCGGGGAGGAGCTGCTAGCGGTGTCGAAGCATGTGAAGCTGGTGGGCGCCATCGGCCCCTGGAAAATTGACAGAGTGGAGCACGGAGAACTAGTCTGCCGAGCATGTGACTATGGGGGTACACCTCTGGAAGGGGAAGCTGAGAGGGTTGTTACGCTAAGCCCGCGCGCAGTGCAGCCGCGCGCAGTGTTACGCTAAGCCCGCGCGCAGTGCAGCCGCGCGCAGTGTTACGCTAAGCCCGCGCGCAGTGCAGCCGCGCGCAGTGTTACGCTAAGCCCGCGCGCAGTGCAGCCGCGCGCAGTGTTACGCTAAGCCCGCGCGCAGTGCAGCCGCGCGCAGTGTTACGCTAAGCCCGCGCGCAGTGCAGCCGCGCGCAGTGTTACGCTAAGCCCGCGCGCAGTGCAGCCGCGCGCAGTGTTACGCTAAGCCCGCGCGCAGTGCAGCCGCGCGCAGTGTTACGCTAAGCCCGCGCGCAGTGCAGCCGTTGGTTGTTCGGAAAGGCCGTGTAATCGGTGTTGCAGGGCTGCCTGAGGTGAGGCTGAGGGTTTCGGAGCTCTGCGCGGAGGACCAGATTCCCCCTTTCAAGCTGCTGCGGGGTCTCTTTGAGGTGCAGAGGGGAGAGGCGCGCCAGCATGCTAAATGGGCAGAGGAGTGGGAAAGATGCATTGATTGGACCAACGTCATCAAGGTCCGCGACTCACCAGCCTTGCCGAACCGGGCGCGGGATGTCCTGCTCCGACTACACTGTCGGAACCTCCAAGTGGGGGTGCGTCTGAGCTTCCTGGAAGGGGTGCTGTGCCCACACTGCGGCGGAGAGGAGACGGCGGAGCACTGTTTATTCAGTTGCCCGCGCATCCAGCCGGTGGTACAAGGGCTGTTGAGGGCGCTGCGGATGCTGAACCCCGGCAGGAAAATAAGGTCGCTGGGAGATCTGCTGTTTCAAAAAGAGGGCACGAGATCGGGCTTCCCAGAAGCAACCATCACTGCTATCACACTACACAAGTTATGGGTGGAGAGGTGTGACGCAGCTTTTGACCGAGGTCAATTCCGGTCCAGAAGGGTACTCCGGAAAATTGCAACGGCTTTTTACACGCACACAAGGGTCTATTTGAGGATCAGGAAAAGGGGAAATCGCGCAGGAGGGGCAGAGGGTCTTGGTCAGCGCTCACTGCTGGAGCCGCTGGACCCGGACGAATTCCGTTCGATGGGCAAGATATGTGACAGCTCAGCGAAGTCGCTTGCGTGGGTGCATGGCTTTACCTCCATCTGGGCCAACCCGCGCACGATCCATCATCCTCCTTAAAGGGTCGGGATGGGTACGACAGTATAGCGCTGTCTAGGCCCATCAGCCACAGTTACGACTGTCAATGTCTGTATATGCTTTTATAGTGAATACAGCATTAAAAAAAAAAAAAAAAAAAAAAAAAAAGTGGGGTGTACAGCCATCGTGTGATCCCTCCAGGAACTTCACTGCCCTCCATCCATACTCCCCGCCTTGCGCTCCTGCCTTTCCCTTTTCTCCCCATAGAGTCACGTGCCTTACCCTCTTTGCCCTCGCTCCTCTCCATTCACACCTGTCTCTTCCACCCAAGCTCAAACAATAATCACCTGGGGCGTCCGTTCATACCCTCTTTGCAGTCTGGACTGGGAGCTGCATTGCAACAGTTGCCTTACTGTCTAATTTCCCCTTATCCATTCGACTCTCCATTCCTGCGCACGCAGTCGTAACCAGGAGCTGCAGCACTTGCCTTACCCACGTTGCTTTGCTCCTCGTCCTCTCCATTCACCCCTACGTTGGAGAGACACCTGCGCAGTCTCAACCACGAGATGCAGCACCTGCCTTCTATATGCTCCCTTCCTCTTCATTCACCCGAACGTTCCTCTCGTTGCCCCTTGCACCCCAGCTGGAGAGCCATCTGCGCAGTCTCAACCAGGAGATGCAGCACTTTTCCGAGGACCTCAAGCAAGGTGAGGGTGGTGAGCAAGGTGAGCGGAGGGAGCAAGGTGAGCGGAGGGAGCAAGGTGAGGGGAGGGAGCAAGGTGAGCGGAGTGAGCAAGGTGAGGGGAGTGAGCAAGGTGAGCGGAGTGAGCAAGGTGAGCGGAGTGATGACTTCATGTGCAGCAACTGCTGCTGAAAACGAATTAACAGTTGTAGGGTGTTTGCTTGCTTGTAAAGCCATGTGAAAAAATAGAATACAAAACGGTTACCAGATTTTGCTCAGAGATTTCTTCAGTTCAGACCCCATTTTTAGTGCAGGCGGTTTTTTTGGAATCTTCAAAAGCCCGTGCTCGTCCCCTTGCCTCTTGCCCCACCAAAGACTTGCTCGTCCAACCTGTCTTTCCCTGCGCCTTGCCAATACCCACAGACGGACGGTTCATGGTCGATGATCCCTTCACGCCCGTTCCTGACCGTCGGATCCTCCCCTCCTCCACCTCCACCACACCCATCCGCACCCCTTCTCCTTCCCCCAACCTCTCTTCCCCATACGCCACCCCCCGTCGCCCCCCTGCCGCCCCGGCTGCCTCCCCAGCAGCAGGGGGCGGGGGAGGGGCGCGGGGGTGGGGGGAACTGAAGGGGGAAGGGCGGGGGTTGAGTGCGGTGGCTGTGCTGGCATCTGGCAGTGGTGGGGAGGGGGGGGGAGGTGGGGGAGGTGGGGGAGGGGGTGTGGGGGAAGCAAAAGGGGAGGCATGGCAAGGAAACCAGGAGAGGGAGAGCGAGAGAGGGGCAGGGAGGGAAGCAGGGAGGGAGGCAGGGAGGGAGAGGGAGTGGGAGAGGGGAGGAAGGGGTGCTGCCCTCATGCCGCCTCCTGCTGCCCTCCCGCTCTCTAGGAAGAAGGGAGGGGTGGGCAGGGGCGTGCCGGTGGGGGCAGGTGGCGAGAGGAGGGAGGTGCCCGAGGGAGGGGCAATAGTGCAGGTGTATGAGCCAACGTATTGCATATGCGGGCAGGTGTGCTTTCTTCTTTCGTTTCCCTCCCTCGTCTCGTTTTTCGGTCTTCGTATCAAACTATGCAAGTTACTGTCGTTTATCCGTTTTAACTTCCTTTCATATGCGGGCAGGTGTGCTTTCTTCATTCATTTTCCTCTTAATCCGTTTCAACTTCCTTTCAACCCCCCGGTTTCAGTTCTGGCCGATTCCTTCTCACAGTACCCCCCTTCCTCTTTTCTTGCATTTCACCTTTCTATTCCACTTACTGCCTGTCCACCCACACTTATGGTGCCATTGCCAGGTGTCGTTTGGAGACATGATCGCATGTGATAACGCAAACGTGAGTTTCATATAAGCTGTTTGCGCAAATAAGGTCAGATGAAACCAGTGCAGGTAAGATTCTGCACAGTTGTATCTGTGAGTATTATCGCAGGCGCATGCACGATGTGCATTTTTAGGAATGCATGGGGATTGGATTGTGAATGTTCACATGCCCTGGTTGTGCATTTGGAAGTTGTTGGTGTGATTGTGGATGTGGATATGCATGTGCATGTGGATATGCATGTGCATGTGCATGTGGATGTGCATGTGCATGTGCATGTGCATGTGCATGTGCATGTGGATGTCCATGTGCATGTGCATGTGCATGTGCATGTGCATTTGCATGTGCATGTGGATATGCATGTGCATGTGCATGTGCATGTGCATGTGCATGTGCATTTGCATGTGCATGTGCATGTGAGTGTGAATGTGCAAGGGAATAAGTGAATATCCCTCATACCATGTTCAGGTCAGTGCGAGGCAGGCGAGTAGTTCCACTACGAACGAGCGTGTGGGGGAATTGGGAAAATAACGCCAACCAAACTCAACCTCTCTCTTTTCTTTCCACCTTCCCCCCCACTCCTACCGTATCTGCAGTGCGAGGGAGGTGAGTGGTTCCACTACGAGTGTGTGGGAATGCTGGGACACGAACACCACCCAATCTTCAGCTTCCCCCTTCACCCCCCCCTCTTCCGGTGTGCAGTGCGAGGGAGGCGAGTGGTTCCACTACGAGTGTGTGGGGCTCAGCATCGCCATGCCCCGGATCCACGACAAGTGGTTCTGCCCTCACTGCACCTCCCTGCACAAGAAAGGGATGCTGCACTTGCCAGCTTAGAGCTTGTGATGCATTAAACACCACTGCGGTATGTTAATTGTTATGTAACAAGGTTGTACATTCCGCAAGTCGTACAATCCGTGCAAGCCAAAGTCAGTATGGTACCACCATAGTATTGAAGCTGACAGACAACAATCACGGCAGCAAGGGAAGAGAACTGGTGAAAATTGTGGTACCTGTACCCTATATTGGCCCTTGGTTTCGCTGCACAGTATTTTTGAATGGATTGCATGCAACTTGCAGAAGCTCCGCAACCACTGGTGCATTCCACAGTAAATGCCTAAGAAAGCCCAAGCATCAACTCCTGCCTAATGCCATTCCCTTCCTCCTCACAGACACATGTGTCCTAGCAAAAGTTGTGTGAGAATCTGCTGTGCTGAGGCAATGGTAGGCTGCCTTCTAACATCCCGTCGCAAAAAAATCCCTTTCTACCATGTCGTGCACATCAGCAGCCGCGGATAACCCTTTCTCCTACGGTAGTTCCAACCCACCTCTCATCCCCTTCCAGTAGTCCACCTGTCAACCACACGCCCCCTTCTCCCCCCGCCGCTACTTCCCCCCGCGGGCCATGTTGGCCATCTGGCCGCGCACAGCCCCCTGGGGGAACGCGGAGGTGGCGATGAGAGCGTGGAAGGAGGCGGGGGCAGCGAGAATGCTGCTCACAGCCGCAGCCACAGAGCCGCCCGCAGCGGCGGAGAGGGACGACGCGTTGGCCCACACGCCCCTGGCGCCGTAGCTGAAGCGCGCAGCCGCAGGGGGGGCAGCAGCGGTGGCGTTGGAGGCGCGATGGAAGGGGCGGGTGGTGTTGGTCCAGGCGGAGGCGGGGAAGGCGAGCAGCAGCGCGGCGGAGGCGGAGGAGGCGGGGCCTGCGTGGATGGAGGCGGCGGTGGGAGGGGAGGGGGAGGAGAGGTGCGCGAGGGAGAGAGAGTAGTGCACGTCCATGTCAGTGGCCGTCCTGGGATGGGGAGTGGGGAAGGGGGGTGAGGAGAGAAGAGGGAGGGTCAACACAGGAGGGTCAACACAGGAGGGGTGAGACGGAGTGTAAGTAGCAGAGGAACGAGGGCTCAGATGCAAGTGCAGGGAGGGGTGGAGACTCGGGTGGTGGCAGAGAGAAGGAGAGGCAGCGGCGCTCACTTGACAAGCCTCAACTCCAGCCGCCCTGTGGCATTGGCCATGCCTGCTGACCCCACCATCTGCTCGCCACTCATCCGCGCGCCCACCACACCTGCCACGCGCAAGCAACGCGTCAACTCAACCGCCTTGCCACAGGCTGCAGCAATGACTGAACACAACAGGTGCATGTGGTGGTCACAAGTAGCCAATAAGACGTCAGCAGCATGTGGTGGTGCAATGACGCATTCGCACTCACCAATCACACTGCCTCCTCGCCCGCCACGCCCGCCAACAGCACCGCCGCCCTCCTTGCGCAGCCCACCACCAGCAGCACCACCACCCCGCTGCGGCCTCGTGCCATTCACGTGCCTCGTGCCATTCACAGCATGCCCCTTCCCTCCCGCCACACGAGTTCCGTTCGCTGCCGCATGACCATCAACCGATCTCTGCTGCTTCACGCCCATCGTCTGCTGCTGTCCCTGCCGCTTGCTGCCAGCCGTCTGCCCTGCCGGCTGCTGCGAGCGGGCTGGCTTCTTTCCAGACGTCGATCCGCTCGCACCCGAGCTGCCCGCCCGCTTGCTGCTACTAGCAGTCTTGTCCCTCGCCTCGCCTGCCGCCGGCTGCGAGCGGGTCTTGCTGGCGGCTTCCGCGAGGACTGGAGGGAAGGGAGGCGGTGAGGGAGGATGAAGGAACAAGACAGGCATGAGCCCGGGTCGGAATCAAATTAAATCGTAGAAAGGATACTCGTACAACTCGTACTCGAACAACCAAGTTGACAATTTCACAAAGGGCTTGCGAGGATTCGCAGATCGTCGGAACGGGCCTCCTGATGTGACGACTGAACGAACGCCATGACGAGACGAGTGAATGCGACTCACTGGCCGTGGCGACGAGCGCAAGCAGCGCGAGAAGAAGGAAGCGCCGCGTGGAAGCCATGATGCCTCCTGGCGTGAAATCGATAAACGCGAAAGCTGGAAGGTGAGAGCAGAGGGGAGCACAGCGAGAAACTGATCGGGGAATCTAGGATCGTAGACGTCTCAGATGCTGATTCTAACCGAAGTCGTAATGTAGACAGAGTATATTCGAGAGCGTCGAAGCACGGTACTCAGGGGGAGCAGTACGAATTTTCACTAACCAGTTCAAGCGGTTGATGAGAGGATCCATCACGATTCTGCTTTTATAGAAGGTTCAATCTGGACGAACGTGATTTGGCGTCGAATCGCCTTGCCAGCGATCAATTTCGAGACATTCCGTGTCGCGAATGTCAAATTCGGAACGGAACGGAAGCCACCGACAGATTGGGAGCATAATTCACTAGTGACCGGCCTGGATGATCGCGGGTTAGATCACAGATAACACCCGACACAGCTAACTCCCCCTGGAAAGTTATGGCGGGAAGAGAGAATTGTGGTGGATGAGAGAAAAAGAGTTGTGGTGGATGAGGGAATGTAGGGTTGACCAGTCCAAGCAGGTGTGTCTTGGGGAGCACGTACGCCGTACCGAAAGGGTTCGGTATAACGAGACAAATTATGTCGAAAACGGATTCGTTCACATGCTGTGAATTCAGAAACTCATCTCTCATCACAATAACTAGGCTTCTAAAAAATATTTGAAGTAATCTAGCTTACATCCTTTGACTACTGAAATGTGAAACAAGCCTCAACATTAACAAACTCCTTAAAAAAAATGTAGTTCAATATACCAGTTGGTGACTGTGATGTGTCGGTGTAAGGGATTTTCCGACATTCCTTACTGCGCACTCTCAAAAAGTACGCAGAACGGAATGATGAAACTAGAATGTGAAGAGGTACAAATATGCAACCCTAACAACTGTACCCCCTAGTAGGTACCTCACTGCAGCCTATATTGTTATTACATTTTGACACACCCCCATAGGCTAAGTGAGGGACATCAAAGAGACAAACAAGCGACAGCAAATGGTCACAAGACCAGTCAAGTGCAAACAACAAAGCAAAGCTCAGGGTGGCGCTCAGAGTCACCACACACTCCGAGCACAAGCAAGTGGCCACAAGGCCAGTTCAAAAGTTTACTAGTATATATAGAAGCAAAACAAGGAAAGCAAACAGTAAGCTACAACAACCGAGAGCCAACCTCAACAAGTCCTAGATGCACACAGAACCTATGGTGGTCACCAGGCGCCAAGGCGTTGGTGAAGACGTCGGCAGTGTTGGCCACTGAGGCCACAAAGTCCAAGCGTGTCTGGTCGCGCCGTTGGAACTCTCGAAGGAGAAAGTACCTCACGTCAATGTACTTCTTTCTGCTCTCCAGTCGAGGCTCTCGACAGAGGAGGATCATGGCCTTGTTGTCAGCGTATAAGGTCGCTGCAGAGCGAGGCCGCTCACCAAGGTCGGCGAGCAAGAAGGTCAACCAGCGAAGCCCCTGTGCCGCCATGGCATCAGCGTAGATCTCTGCTTCTGCACTGGACGAAGCCACAGACGACGACTGTGTAGACCTCCACGACACAGCACCAGCACCCAGACTGAAGCAGTAACCCTGAGTCGAACGCTGAGTCTCCACGTCGTCAGCGTAGGAATAGTCGCAGTGACCGGTCAACTCAATTGGCTGAGTCGTTCCAAGCACAAGCCCCACGCCTGATGTAGTCGCCAGGTACTTCGTCACCCTCACAGCAGCCGTCCAGTGAATAGGACGGTGTCTCCCAGTCGCAACAAAGCGAGAGAGGACGCTGAGGGGAGAGGCGAGGTCTGGCCGAGTACAAGTCATCAGGTACATGAGGCAGCCCACAAGCTCGAACTGGTGGAGAACTGAAACTCGAACCGCCGAAGGACCTGCTGCACCATGTGTGACTGCGTCAACGTGATGGTGCGAGCGGCTCTGTCCCTGGTGATCTGCAGGCCAAGGTAGCGCTGCAATTCACCGAGGTCAGTGCACGTGTGTCTCTTTTGCAGTTCGGATTTCACCTCAGCCAGAGCTGCCCTGTCTGCTGTAGGAAAGACCAAGTCGTCGACGTAGACAATTATAAAGAAAGGAGTGGAACCAGCGCGAACAAACAGCGATGGGTCGTGAGAAGAAGGACGAAACCTCAGGTCACGAAGCGTGGAGCGAAGAGTGTCGTGCCACTCACGGGGCGACTGGCAGAGACCGTAGACTGGTCGCCTCAGGCTCCACTGGGTCCCAGGTGGGAAGGTGTCAGTGAAGCGAGGAGTACGCCGCAGCCAGATCTCCTCGTGTAGGCGGCCCTCCAACATCGCATTAGCTAGTTCGCGCGCACCGCGTTACCGGTTTCTCGTTCGCTATAATTGTTCTCTTAATACTCATTTGACTCACTAGTGCAATCTTCACTCGCTCGTTCGATTGCACCCGTAACACTTGGCTATCATAGCTACTTTCCTTTCGGACCGCGCATTTTTCCGCAACCAGCAACTCTCAACTTTTGTTTTTCAACTCGAAGGGACATATGCCTCTCAACGTACTAGGAGCCGCTGCCCCGGTGCTCTCTCGTAAGCACGTGCAGTCACGACCGCGCCTAGCACCTAGAACGGCCAACGTCCTTCGACTTGGGCGACCAAATTAATCTCGCGGACCTCTCGCAGGCGACGAGCTGACGCGACAACTGCACGAAAACGCATTGAAGATTGCGACGTTGATGGCAGAACGCGAATCCCTCCAGCGCTCATCCAATCTTGCACCAACACAGATACAAGCAACACAGACACAAGCAACACCGGCACCGGCAGCAACAACACCGTCACAATATGAAAGCGTGTGGCAACGCTCGTCCGCTGCCAGTGATGGCGTCGCACGTGAGGGAGCACGCGACGACAGCGGTACGACACATGCCGGAACGACGAATGCGGAAACGGACCGACGTTGCGTCAACATTGTGACCAAACACGGCGAGTCGACTCTCTTCTCGCCGATGCCTCTCAAGCCGCAGAGTCCGCCGTGCTTTGACCCGAGTCAACGGGGTGGTCCGATATTCAATCGTGGATTTTCACGACGAAAGTATTCTTCGACGCTAATTACTTCATGTCGGACGCCGCGAAGATTCGATACGCTGTGTCGTTGTTGCGAGGACCCGCCATGGACTCGTAACGTGCCATTGTCACAGCGCCGAGCGACTATGATCGGCTACCGCAAGGGGAGGGACCTTCCGGGCCCACGATCCCCTGGGCACCGTCGTATTGCAAAGTCACCTAGTATCGCACGTGGGATGCATTGTGCACGGGTATGCGTGGGAGATTCGAGCCAATCGCATCGTCGATTTCCGCAAGCCAGAAGTCGCGCACTTGGCGTCAACTCGGCTCCGTCTAAGACACTAGCGGATTCCTGGCGCTACACGAGTAAGTTGGGTATATGCACAAGGCGAAATGTGTAGACCGCTGTCGGGGGACTGAAACCGGAAATCCCATGGGAAATCTTGCTCCGTGATGTCACGAATTTCAACGACATCCTCGCTATGGCGGAAAAGATTGACTTCCTTCGCTGACCGAGAACGGGGTCATACGGAAATTGGGGTCGCCGGACTTGAGGGACGAACGAGCACGCCACGATACGCGCCGTCGTCGCGAATGCCACTGCCGCACCATTCAAAGGGCGAAGCTTCGTGTGCAATCCGCCTGGGCACCACAACAGCGAATGTCCGGAGGCTACGGGGAATAAGGGAGCCGCACAGCAGAAGGGGTCTAAGCAAAAAGGGTCCAAGCAGCAAGGAAATGTTGGGAGTCAGTAGCAGATGGGCCCTCTAGTAACAAGACTCGCCGCTCGCCCGACCCAACGACCCTCACCGAGTGACAGTACTGATTGATGTCGATCACACTTGGCTGAACAGGGAGGGTACAGTGGTAGACAGTCCCATACTGCTTAGCGGGAAAATTCATACTGACTTAGTCAAAAAAAAATTACGGAAGAGATAGTCACAGCTTAATTGACACTGCTCGAAAGCTGCAACTGCCACTAGCCCAATGTTTACCTGAGATCGATGCAAGACTGATCGACGGCTCGCCACTGGCAATACGGGAACGCGTGGACCGAGTTCGGATTCGACGCGGGGGTAACTTCACATTCACCCTGGAAATGCTGGCCACGATCTGCGATGGAACCGACATATTACTCGGCCGTGATTGGCTGTGACTGTTGACGGGAATAGGGTGTTGGCCCCGCCCTCGCTTGGGCGAAGCCGACGAAGCGGTCGAGTGCGCGGGAAGTGTGGCCGACCATCCGCAGAGGTCGGCGCGTGCAGGTCGACGGGGTTGGTCGACGACCTGCAGAAGACTGCTGCGGAGCCGCCGTCGATGGGAAGCCGGCGGCAGATCTCGACTGGGTTGGTCGACGAAGGGGATCGTCGACATGCCTTCGGTGTGATCGACGAAGGTGGTCGTCGACCTGTGCGGGACCGTCAAAGAGGCCGTCGACGGTGGGTGCTCGACGGCAACAGCTGACCGAGCTGCTTGACGGAGGGGTCCGTCGACCAGGGTGGTCTTCGAAGGGAGCAGTGGTCGACGAAGGAGGTCGTCGACCAGGGCGCTGGGTGGTCGACCACGTCGACCAGGTAACCTCAACGAGGTTCCGCGGAGGCACGCGAGGCTCGTCGAGGCTGCGATGGCGAGGGAGCGAGTAACTGTCCCGAGGTCGACGTGGAGCGCCGGGCGCAATTGTCGGCACGTGGCTGACTTGGCACCTGCGCGACGGTAGAGAACATGCTCGACTGCCGCCGCGCAACTGGGAAGCGGGTGCGCACATGCGCTACTGTCACCAGCGGTTGCAACACTGGCAGACCGCTCTGCTGCAGCGTTGGCAAACCACCTTGTCGACCTGCCCCGTTGGCAGGCCGCCTTTCTGTAGTGCTGGCTCTACGCAACGCTGGCAGATTGTCGACCTTGCTGCGCTGGCGGTCGACCAGCTTGTCTGCAGGGTTGCTAGGCTCCTGATGTAGTCATTCTTGCCATTCCTTGTTCATTCATTATGAAATACAACTTTCCCTAGTGAAACTCTTGCCAATTTGCTCTGTGAACGCACAAGTATTAGAGAACGCTAAGGAACGCTACGATCATTCCTAGAACTCGTGCCTTCCCTCGTAGTCCAGCTCTCGGTGTGGAGTGACTCTCCGCATGGTGCGGTGAGCGTGGACGGCCCCGTAAGGAACCTTTAGACTAGTTGTCCATTGCTCACTTACCTAAGTTGTTCGTAGGCCGGCAACTCGTGCAGAGTATGACGCCCGTCCCGGTAGGATCCGGCGTGGTAGAGGATAGTCTAGAGGCACAATTGACTGATGCGAGGAGACGCCACGAGGCTGGCGAGTTCGGGCCGACCCTCCCCTTGGAGGTGGTTCAGCTGGGCATCTGTACGCGGTGGGCGACGGATGAGGAGGTCGACGGTGGTGACCAAGCCGGCGGTAGCGAGGGCACGAAGAAGAGATGTGTGATCAGGGTCGACGGTGGCGTCGAAGGGAGCCAGGCGCGAGTGCAGCGGTCGACGGCGGTTGCAGGCAGCTCGCGTGTCGACGCCGACGAGCGACGTCGCTCACCCCAACGAAGCAGTGGGAGGCCCACGTCGACGACGCACGTGAGGGCGGGCGGGATTGCGCCGGCGTACGGCTACTTCAAAATTTCGCCGGACAAGATTGCCGTGCCAGTGCCGCTGCAATGTCGACGAGACCTCATCACGTGGAGGGAGTCCATAGAGCCTTAGCTGGAGATCGCCGGGCTGAAGGGTTTCGTCGACGGGGACATACCGATACCGGACGTGGACGACGTCGAGCTACGCGCGGAGTTTCATGCCGCTCACCTGCTGACATTTATGGTCATCTCGAAGTGTTGCTCGCCGGTGGTGTAGATAGAGCTGAAGTCGTGTCGACTTCGACTCGACGCAAGCCACCAAGCGTGGCGGTTCATCCTGACGACGTATCAGGCAACGTACGATCTGTACATCGGTCAGCTGGAGGAGCAACTGACCCACCTCCGGATGGGCGAGCAGGAGTCAGCGACGGACTACTGCAATCGTGCTCGACGGATCCTCGCCGAGATGCGGATGGCGGGCGTCGACTCTTCGACGGCGTCGTACATCACGCACGTTGTCAAGGGCCTCCCGAGCGGCTACAACCTCATGCGCCGGATGTTGGTGATGTCCGGCATGCGTGAGTCGCTCGACGAGGACACCCTCATCAGCCACATCATCAAGGATGAGGCGATGAAGGAGGCAGAACGACCCACGGAGCTCCTTCCGCAAGCGAACTATGCCGCCCTGACGAAGCAGAGTTATCAGCAAGGGCAGCGCTGGAAGCCGGGCGGAGGTGGTAGCGGAGGTGGGAGGTCGACGAAGGACATTGACCAGACGAAGTCGACGTGGGACAAGGATCGCAGAGGTGGTGATCGACGGCGAGAATGCTGGGTCTGTGGCGACCCCGACCACCTCTCCTTTGAGTGTCCCAACCGCGACGATTCCGACGACGACGACCGCAAAGGAGGCCACAAGAGGTCGGCCATCGGCCGACGAAGTCAGGACAAAAGGCCGCGCAAGGAGAAGCAGGCGTCGAAGAAGACGTCGTCGACGAAGGACGTCAACTCCTCTAGCAGCAAGGGCCGAGGCGACGGGGAGGCGTCGTGCTCGATGGTCGTCGCTGTGGAGCCAATCTTTCGCTTGCGCCGGGAGCCGGGGAGGACTTCAAGGCAATCGCGGCCGCCGTTCAAGCGAATCTAAAGGTGGTGCTTCTCGACAGCAATTGTTCGCACCACCTGATGGGGACGAAGGAGGTCTTCGTCGACATGGCGCCGAGCGACGACGTGAAGCATGCGCGCGGCTTTAACAGGGCATTGCAGACCGTCGAGGGACGCGGCACTGTCGCTCTGCAAGGGGAGGCCGGGAAGCAGGTCCTCATTCCCGACGTGCCCTACGTCTCGGGAGTGCAGGCGAATTTGCTGTCCGCCGACCAGCTGCAGAAGAGCGGCGTGAAGCTGCAGGACGACGGCGACGAGATGATGCTCGTGTCGAGTGCAGGTGAGGTGCTCGGCCGAGCACGCTACACTGGCCGCGTCCTCTGCACCAACCTCCGGCCCTGCTCGACGAAGCTGTCGTCGACATCGACCGAGGTGGTGGCCTGACGATTGCTTCTACGACGAAGTCGACCCCCGACCGGTGGCACGCGAGGCTCGCGCACGTCGGCTTCAACACGATCAAGAGCTCGGCGAAGCATGAAGTTACCACCGGCCTCGACATCGAGCCGTCGATCGGGGCCGACCTCCCGTGTGTGTTGTGCGTCGGCGGGAAGCTGGCGCGGCACACCTTTCCCTGTTAACGAGGTAACTGAATAATGAATGTCTAGAAACAAGCAGTACAAGGGAGTATATAGCAAACCCTAAGGGGGTTATACCCTCTACAGCATAACTCATTGTAACACCTAGACTAAACTAACAAACTATAACAATGATAGTTTGACACACCCCCATAGTCTAGGTGACGATAGTCCTGTGGAGAGCAACACACAACCCAAGAGCAAGGGTCACAGGACCAATCAGCAAGAACAAGGCAACTCTCGGGGTGGATCTCAAGATCACCACACTGTCCGAGAACAAGAAAGGGGCCACAAGGTTAGTCCACATGCAATGATGCAGCAGATGTAAGAGATGCAAGAGTACAAGACATGCATGACAAGAATCTCTGCAGAAGCAAGGGGCCACAAGTCCTGTCCACAAGCACAGATATAGGATATATAGTAAGATGCAAGAGTACAAGACAAAGCATCTCTACGCAAGCAAGTGAGGGCCTCTAGACACAAGGCCAAGCTGGGTGCAGAAACGCTGGTGGTCACAAGGCGGCAACGCCTTGGTGAAGATATCTGCAGTGTTGGCATCAGAGACCATACGTCGCACAAGTGCCTGGCCACCCTGCGTAGACCGCAACGACTCAGCGTCGTCGGCCCCACGACGAGTCCGAGAAACCTGTGAGAGTAACTGGCTGCTTCCCTCCAAGCACAAGTCCCTTGCCTGATGTATTCGCCACATACTTCGCCACCCTCTTAGCAGCGTACCAGTGGGAAGGTCGGTGTCTCCCAGGCGCAACAAAGCGCGCAAGGACGCTAAGAGGGTAAGCTAGGTCAAGGCGAATACAGGTCATCAGGTACATGAGACAACCCACCAACTCAGGATATGGACCGCTGGACTCAGATGGCTCGTCCGAAGGTGGAGCCGTGAGCCCACGATCCACAACAAGAGGGGTGAGATGTACCTTGGAGAACGGGAAGCGAAACCGCGTGAAGATCTGCTCGACCATATGCGACTGCGTCAACGTAATGGTGCGAGTTGCCCTGTCCCTAGTTAACTGCAGGCTATGGTAGCGCTGCATCTCACCAACTGTGAGAGTACGACGGCTTATGCTGGCTTTGCTAGCTTGCCTGGACTTTATTATGCTATTACTAGCTTAGGTTTTATTTATCATGCATAGATATGCTTGATTTCCTAGGTTAGGTGCATTCCTATATGTTATTTTAGTTATAGCACCGAACCAGGTTACGTGTACCGAACTCAAGCCTATTCGGTTTCCACCGAATTGCTTTCTACTGAGTTCGGGAAGGTTCTGTTCGGGACGCTTCACGACCCTCAGAACAATCACGTAACACCTGGGTAACTGGCCTTGTGTCGAGCCTATATATAGCCTCGTCTTGTACCCAGGTGAATCATTCAATAGAATCATCTTTCCAGAACCAGATCCTCACACTTGGTAATCAGAGCGGGTTTTACACGCGAGGTCTTCAACCGCTTAAAGCCGCGGTGCAGATATCGCTGCGCCAGTTCAAAGTATTATAGCTTGAAAGGCGCGTTACCCAGTATACACTGGAAGTCTCGGGTTGGCAGAGCTTTCTGAGAGCGGGGGAAGGTCGTGCGGAAAAGTGCCTCGCAGCATGATGAGTGGGGGGGAAGCTGGGGAGGGCTTGCGGAAAAGCACCGCACCACAGCATGAAGGGGTGGCCAGGCATCAAACTTGAAACTTGAACTCAAAATTACTCAAACTCAGCAATCTCTCGCACTAGGCTAGGTTACTACTAACTTGAAGTGCCTTCCCGTAGGGCTTCTTGAGAGCCATTCGCCCCAGATCTATCGCTCTTCTTCGCCTCTTAGTGTGCGCTCGAATATCTGCGCTATTTCGTACCCCAAAAAACACCACCGCGGCTGTACCCGTAGCGCATTGCGCGCGATTTCCTCCGCGGTATTCGTTCTGTAGTCCCTCTCCCGTCCCTCTATTTCTCACGAATCGGCGGTGGCAAGCAGCGACGTGGTGAAGGGAAGTAGTTGGGAGCGACGTGGTGGCAGGCAGGATTGGGTGCGACAGCAGCCAGCGGGGCGACGATACTGAGCATAGCGGCGACGGTAGCGAGCAGCATGGCGACAACAGCGCAATGACGATAGTGAGCTGCGATGGCGACAGTAGCGAGCAGCGGGGTGACGTCTGCGTGCAGCAGGGCGACGTTAGCGAGCAGCGGGATGTCGTTAGCGAGCAGCGGGGCAAAGCATCTGTTCCGACGGTCCCTAAGCATCACGCGTCCAAACCTCGCAAGCGGCTTTAGCGAGCGAGATTGGTAGCGATGCGGCGAAGGCAAGGGGATGTGTGTGGCAAACGCAATGGCGGCAAGAAACTGCAAGCACGATGGCGACAGGGCCGGAATGGGTGAGAAGGACAGGGGGAAAGGGTGGGAAGAACAGCGATCGATGGTCGGAATAGGTGCTACTGTGGCGAGCATCGCCTGAGGTCGATGCACAGCTCGGTCACGAGACGACATGGTCCGGCTAGTTGCGCACGTAACAGCGAGCAGCGGCGCGACAGTGGCGAGCGGTGGCGAGCGTTAGCGAGTGGCGGGCGAGGCGGGAGCGTGCAGCGACATGCTATAGGCCCCTGTCCTTCTTTCCCTTTCCCCCACTCCTTCTATCCCTTCCCCCCTGTCCTTCCTCCTTTCCTCCATGTCCTTCCCACCCTTTCCCCCTGTCATTCTCTCCCTTTCCCCTTAGTCCTTCCCTCCCTTTCATCGTTTTCGTTCCTCCTGATGCTTAATCCTCCCCCCTGTTCTTTCTTCCCTGTCCCCCTATCCTTCCCTCCCCTTCTTCTCCCTCCCTCCTTTCCCCTCTCCCAACCCACTGCTTCGCCCTGCTCTCATCCGTCCCCTTGCCCCCATTCGTCCCTTTTCCCCCACTACCGTCGCTGCTTTTCCTGCTCATTTCCCCCTTTCCTGAACCCTTCCTTTTCCTCTCTCACATCCCTTCCCGTTCCCACAATCCCATCCCACCATTCACTCTTCTGATGGCCATCCCTTTCCCTCCTCTCCTGTCCCTCCCCTGTCCTATCCCATTCCCCCTGTCGCTTTCTCCTTCCCCTGTCCTATCCCATTCCTGTCCTAGTTCAAGCGTGAGAGATTGACCCAAAGCACTATTCACTATTCAGCCCCCCCCCCCCGCTGCTCCCCCCTGCACCCATTCGTCCCCTTGTCCCCTCACCCAACCCTCGCTTTTTCGCACTCCCATCCGTCGTTTTCCCCCTTGTTTGTTCCAGGGCATTCCCCCCTGCCACCATCCCCCATGGCACATCCTCCTATGCCACACCTTCAGTTTCACGCCTCCCCATTCCCGAACTCCCCTTGTCCGTCGGTCCCTTGGCGTCTTGCCCTTCCCTGCAGGCAGCAAAGGCGCGACGGTAGCAAGCGGCTCGCTCTCACTGTCTCTCCACCACCAATCCTCCTCTCCCCCACTCCCGCCGTCCCTCCTTTCCCCCATTACCATTCAAACCTTCCCCCCGTCCCCGTCCCTCCTTCCATCGGTGTCCGTCCCTCCTTCCCCCACCATCCACCCTTTACCCTACCCTTGTCCTTTCAAGGCATCCCCCGATTCCTAAACCCTTCCTTTCCCTTTCTCCCATCCCTTCCCTTTCCCCCTATTCAGTCCCACCATTCACCCCTCTCCCGGCCATCCCTTTCCCCCCTCTCCTGTCCCTCCCCATTCCCCTCATCCGACCCTTCCCTTTCCACTATGACCCCACGGTGGCAGGCGTGACGACATCCAACCCTCTGCTCCACCGCTCCCAACTCCACTGCATCCCTTCACCCACCCCGCTGCTTCCCTTCACCCACCCAACTACTTCCCTTCACCCACCCCATCACTTTGTGTCGTCGCGCACCCCACTGTTTCTGCCAACCCTCCATTCAATTTCCCCATCAAACATTTTTCACTTCTTCGGCTGGTGTCCTTCCCTACCCCCCTCCCCCCCTGCTATCGGTGGACAGCTGCATCAATAATGGATCAGAGGGGCGTGAAGTCTGGCTCATCTTGGAGATGCCATGTAGGATTTAAAGACACTCATGTTTGCCTGCCATGTGTACATTCGTTGCACCCAAAAAGAAAAGGGAAACAACCACCCCAAACTTTGATCGTTCTGAAATCCTCAAATGTGCCTTTGAGTCGCAGAATATGATATTTGTGTGGTACTCAGCTTATTTTAAATACAAACTCTTTCGTTATGCAATGTAGAGATGACGGCATACTCATGGGTTTCGAATTTCGCGTTGTCGTGTGTGTTCCCCCCTTCCCTCCCCCCACCCCTTCCCCTTCCCCCTCACTTTCGAGGTTGGCGACGTTCGCATCAGTTGTTTCCTTTTTCTCTTCATCGCAACACAATCTACTCTCTCGCTAGCCAATTGGCGACCAGGAAGGAACAAGACAAAAAACTGTTTGTCACTGTTCCTAAGATATCTGCACCGCGGCTTTAAAACCGGCCTTTAAAAACCGCGGGGGCGACGACGAAAGCGCCGATACGGGTATGTAAAACCAGTTCCGCGCATTTTTTCGAAGGTCCCCCTCGATCCGGTTTTCGAACACCCCTCAGGATTATTGGCAGAAAGGTTGGAGTTTCGACCGTCAGATCGATTCGAATCTCAACAGCCTAGAGAATTTCGCCCAGAAAGGTTGGAATTTGGAGCGTCGGATCGAGTTTCTCCTCAACGGCCAAGATCGAACGCGAATTTCGACTAAGGGAGATTTACGCGACTTACAGAATTCGCGCTCATCGACTCTACAGTCAATTTGACTCGCAGTAAGTCGACCAGCACCTAGAATTCGATTATTTTCGTCGCGCATCTTCCTGTAAATCGCCAAATGGAGGGGAAAAGAGATATTTCAGTACAGAAAATCGCGGAGTTACGTGCTGAGCATAAGCAGATACGTGCAGAGCTCCCACGACTTGAAAAAGTCCTTGCGAACCAGTCGGCAACCGCCAGAGCAGCAGCGAACGCAGCGGCGAATGCAGCAGCGATAGCAGCAGCAGCAGCAGCGGCGGCGACACCGACAATTGTACCTGCGACAACGGCAGCAGCTACAGTTTACCTCGAAGCAGCGAAGCCGAGGCAACCAGAGGCGTTCAAACCTACAGTTAAAAGGAGCGACGTTCATCGATTTGTAGCTGAACTCGAAATTTACTTCGAAGCCGTTGGATGCACGACCCCGACAAAAGACGCAATGCGCATACGGCTCGCAGCAACACTGTTACGTGGCCCAGCTCTAGAGTGGATCAACAACAGAATAGTCCAAGGCGAGGGGACGTGGGCGCAGTTTCGTGCAGCACTGATCGAACAGTTCGACGCGTTGAACAGTAGCTACCACGGAACACGACGCAACAAGCCAACTAGTGGCATGGGGCGATTGGCACCACCCACGACTGCCGACCCGATGGAGAACGACAAGGGCGATGTGGAGAAGCGGCTAGCAAAAAATAAAACGTGCGAATTTTGCAGCGCTACAGGACATCGTTTCTTGGCGTGTTGGAAAATGAAGAGAAGGCGTGCGGAGCTGAGGGACAAGAGCAGTGTGGCACCCCCGAAGCAGAAAACGGACAACGTGGCAACTTCGGAGAGGGCGAAAAAAGAAGAATATGGTGGCGCAAATTTAAAACGTCACGACCAGCCGGCACCAGGGGAAATCGCCGAGACTAAAAGAGGATCCGCGAAACAAGACCCTGCACCGACTGGGAAACTCCAGCTGTACACCCCGACAAGTAAGAATATTACTTCTCGTGGGTTTCAAGCCTTTATTAAGGGAGAGTCAGAAATTAAACCGGTACCGGGTAATATGGGGACCCTACTCCAGAGCGCTAATACGGGTCGAGCGTTCCGAGGAGTTAATATTCTCTCCCAGCAACACTGTTTAAAGGCTCCCTGTTCCCCACAGATGAAGCCTACACAGCTGCAAAGGTTTAGGATAAGGTTCCAGGCCCAAGAGAAGCTGAATCGGCCACGGATAAATCCTTCTAACATTTCTCAGTTGAAAACTGATATTGAAGCTGCATCTTCGAGCGCAGGACCTAGGGATGACATATTCGACGTACCCTACGATCCTATAAGCGATACCATCTACGGCTACTCGGAGCAGCAGCAACCACTGGTACTCGAGGTGATCTGCAACGGGCGTCGCCTCCAGGCCCTGGTGGACAGTGGTGCGTCCCACTCGGTGTGCGACCGCGGGACGTTGGAGAAAATTGGAGAATCCTTAGAGGAGATCCAATTTACAGCAACGATGGTGGACGGTACGAAGCTTCCCATCCAAGGCGAGACAACGTTGCAGCTGCAGATAGGGGCATTAAGGTGGAAGCCGACGTTGCCGATCACGAACATCAAGGGATTATATTTCATCTTGGGGCGAGATTTCCTGAAGCGGTTCAACCCCGAGATAGAATGGGTCAACCGGAAGATCGAAGCCGTCAAGAAGTGGAAAATACCGGAGAACGTGAAGGAGTTGCAGCATTTCCTAGGCTTCGCCAACTACTACAACAGGTTCGTGCCGCAGTATGCTAAGATAGCAGCGTCACTAACCAACCTACTGAAAAAGGATATGCCCTACAAATGGGATACTCCTCAACAGCAAGCCATGGAGCAGCTACAGACAGCACTGACTACAGCGCCAGTACTCATCCTACCGGATCCAGACAGAGACTACGTGGTGGAAGCAGACGCTAGTGACCAAGCAGTCGGAGCAGTACTGATGCAGCATCACGGACGCAGTTTGCAGCCCATCGCCTACCTCAGTAAGAAGCTGTTACAGTGGGAGAAGGACTTAGCTGTAAGAAAGGGATCAGGAAAGATTTGGGTACCGAATTACGCCCCGCTACGGCAGATCCTATTGGAGGAGTTTCATGACGTACCATACGCGGGACACTTCGGGAGCAACAAGACGTTAGCAGGGATAGCAAAGTATTACTACTGCAGACGTGCAGCAGTTCGTCACCTCATGTGACACGTGCCAGCGGATGAAGAATAGCAAGCAGAAAAAGGCAGGGTTACTACAGCCTCTACCCATACCGGAGCAGCCGTGGCAATTCGTTAGCCTCGACTTCATCACAGGACTTCCTTCGACCTCACGAGGACATGACGCTATACTCGTGGTGATCGACAGGTTCTCTAAGATGGGACACTTCATCCCGACCAACGCCACGGCTACAGCTGAGGCAACTGCTCGCCTCTTCTTCGACCGCTTCATCACCATCCACGGCATCCCCGCTACACTCATCTCGGACAGAGACCCAAAGTTCACAAGTAAATTATGGAGGGAACTCATGGGTTTGTTGGGGACTAAGCTTGCGATGTCTTCAGCATACCACCCCCAGACTGACGGACAGACAGAGCGACTCAATCAGGTGGTTGAACAGTTACTGCGCACAGCTTGCAAAGACGACATCAGCCACTGGGATCTACAGTTACCGACCCTAGAGTTCGCTTACAACAACGCGTCACATGCGGCCACAGGGAAAACTCCTTTCTTCCTGTGCTATCGACGGGAACCACTTACACTAGAGCAGCCAACCACACCGGCACACGTCCAAGCCGCACATGACTTCGTCACCACCATGCAGCAGCTATGGGAGAAGACTCAGCGACGTCTTTCCACGATGCAGAACTCCCAGAAGCAGTATGCCGATCGCCATCGACGTGATCACACCGTAGCAGTCGGAGATCAGGTGCTTCTCGACACGCGCAACTTGAACCTGTCTCACCTACCATCCAAGCTCCGGCCTCGCTTCTGTGGTCCTATTCACGTTGAGGCACAGGTGACACTAGTAACATTCCGCTTGCGCTTACCTACTACTTGGAAGCCTCACAATGCTTCCATGTTCAGCTACTGAAGCCCTACAAGGACCCCAACCAACAGTTCCAGGGACGACAGTTACCGCCACCACCACCTGTTTTCGTACAGGATGAACCAGAGTACGAGGTGGAACGAGTACTCGCTCATCGACGCAGACGTGGCAACACGCTCGAGTTCCTGATAAGCTGGAAGGGATATGACCCATCGGAGGACAGTTGGGTTGCAGAAGCTGATATGGGCAACGCACGCCGTGCTCTCAAGGACTATCTTGTCAAGCAGGGTGTGTCTCACGCCACCCAGCTTTGAGGGGGGGACGTGTGAGAGTACGACGGCTTATGCTGGCTTTGCTAGCTTGCCTGGACTTTATTATGCTATTACTAGCTTAGGTTTTATTTATCATGCATAGATATGCTTGATTTCCTAGGTTAGGTGCATTCCTATATGTTATTATAGTTATAGCACCGAACCAGGTTACGTGAACCGAACTCAAGCCTGTTCGGTTTCCACCGAATTGCTTTCTACTGAGTTCGGGAAGGTTCTGTTCGGGACGCTTCACGACCCTCAGAACATTCGCGTAACACCTGGGTAACTGGCCTTGTGTCGAGCCTATATATAGCCTCGTCTTGTACCCAGGTGAATCATTCAATAGAATCATCTTTCCTGAACCAGATCCTCACACCAACGTCAGTGCAAGTGTGTCTCCTCTGCAGTTCCTCCTTCATGGAGGCCAGTGGTTATTGGTCGGGAGTGGTGAAGACCAGGTCGTCAACGTAGACTAGAACAAAGAACGGGGTCGAGCCACGGCGGACGAACAGCGACGGGTCGGCAGACGACGGAAAGAAGTCAAGCGCTGCAAGAGTCATACGTACCGTTGTTGGAGTAGGCTAGTGTTCGCTCTGCATTTCATTTTGGCCTTCTATAAATTTTTTCGGCCACTTTTAGACTTAGTTTCATTTCTGGTTCATCTTAGGTTCACTTTGCAGTTTGTCTCTGCATTGAACACGCCCTAGGTTCAGTTGGGGTTTCCCAATCCTATCTTTCAAATGTACCTCGACACTTTTTCCTAGTACAACTTTTTCGACCCTACTAACTCCCTCGCCATCCATGGCTCCTCACATCTTAACATGGTATCCAGAGCGTAGTCCTAGGCGTTTCCTTCATATCC